AGGTTTACGCTAACGTCTGGCCGGTTTAAAGTTCAGAGGTTGGCTGACAGCTGGTCTAACCAGTTCTGGGGGCCTAATGGGGGAGGGACCAGCTTAAGAAGATCCCATTGAAATCTATGCTAAAACCACTAGAAACAAACACTTCAAAACACATTTACTTTTATCTCAAACCTCAAGTCTTTACCCCACTGGAAAGCTACATTTGTCAGGTGTCTTTTGGTACAAATAGTGAAAGTTCAACTCCGGCGTGTTAATGAGCTACAGCTAGAAAATTAAAATGAGACCAGGATTTCACCCCCTGGCAAAGTAGAACAGTCCACACAGATAACAAGTATGTAGAGGTCAATAACAGGTCAAACCATGGAAAAGGTCACACTTTTTAGCCATATTTTAAAAATATACATTCTTCTGTCCTTCTTACCAGAAAACTGGGCCTTTCTGAGCAAAATTTGCCCAGGAAAAAAATTATCTAAAAAATATGTACCAAAATAAATCGGTGTACACACTGCTAGTTCTGCGCATGCCGATTAACTGGTCCCTCCCCTTAACCTTGCAATTTACTTTTGTGTACATTGTGTACTTATTTGAGGGAAACATAACTCTGATGACGAAAACATCCCATAGTTTTCCCTGAAGCCATACCGAACTTTACTTAAGAACACGTAGATAGAAGTGATAGAGGCGAGGGAACATTTTTGGCCGAAGTAGAATAATTTGCCGAAATTGTTTACTTGTTGTTACTCAGAGATTTTCAACAAAAGGTGTCAAAGTGATCGTGAGATAGCGTCCTTCGCAGACTTGTGGGGCGGCGGCGTATTTTTTTTTTCGGTGAGAGACGCGAGTTATGCCGCAGAGGAACGGTTTTGCCGCCGAGAGAGTTTTGCCGGGGAGAAAACGGTTTCGCCCCCAACAAGCCTTGGCGGGAAAAAAATCGTCCCTCCGCGGCACTCGCGTCGCTCACCGAAAAAACAAAGCCGAAAAAATAACGCCGCCGCCGCAATTTTCCGTCTCGTAAACGGCCGATGCCATTTGAAACGGCCGCTGCCATTTCGCTGAATGGTCGATGCCATATCCGAGCGTCCAAAAACTAATAAAAAGAAATATATACTATAAAAAGCAATATTCTAATTGGAAATATAAGGGAGGGTCATTTAGAATTGTAAATGTTAGTGAAAAAAAACAACACAAGGTCGGAATCGAACTCGGGTCCAAAAGTGCAGCTCTAAAACCCTATAACCTACACCCTAATCTATACCCTAACCTCTAGACCACAAAACATCACGGTGTGGTTGGGCCGTGCTGGTAGCCGTTCTAGGAAATGGCATCGACCGTTTCAAAAGGCGACGACCGTTTACGAGACGGAAATTCGCGCCGCGCCCCTACAAGTCTGCGAACAAGGCTAATCATGGGATACTTAAAAGTTTCCTCTTTCCTTCCTAAACTGGCGTCTGAGTCCCACAGAAAAAAAACCTTCTCCCTACATTCACAAGATACTTTACCTTTTCTCGCCACCGTGAGATTTGAACAAGATACATGGCGACTTACTTCTTAAGTACATTTCAAATGTCTTAAGAAGTATCTTACCAGGTTTGCAGTGTGCTCTGGCAAAATTACGGGACTTGACTTCACAATCATTGTTAAGTCTGGAACTGTTTACAAGTTCCTTCCCAAATTGATCGATTGGAGGTGAACACATAATGTATTGCTTTGTTTTCGAAAAATAAAACCATTTTCCAGTTAAGGCCACACCAAGTTAATTTTATGGATGACGTCCTTTGGAGACCCTAAATCTAATGCGAGAGGGCGAAAAAAAACAAGAAGGGCCCTAAAAAACAAGATGCCTAGATAAGAAATATTGCACTGCTGACAGGACCGTCCTGTCTGTTAATAGTTCCAAAAACGGCACTGTTTTGGAACTATTGATAGGATTTTATTCAGTGCCATTTTTTTCATTTTTGTTTCCATTTTTTAACCAGGCACGGGCTTTCGGCGTTACGGGTTTCACATCAATCTGACGATTTGCGGCACTGTCGTGACCCTTTGGTCATATTTACAGGAAGCGGAATTTCTTGTTTTTTTCCTAGGAACAGGCCAAAATCAATGCGCGCGCGGACGTCATCCATAAAATTTACTTGGTGTGGCCTAATACTGCACAGAGGCAAAGACATATTATTATAACCTCCTTGGACAGATCAAACTTCATGCAAGAAGAGCACCAACCTTTGAGGAATATCCAGTACGCCGAGCTGAGTCACTGTGTCTCCTCACCAAACCCTGTAAACATGAAACGGAGCCCAGGCCTTTTATACTTCCTCAGGTTGGACTTGGCAAGGACACTACAGAAAATGCCAGCGTCAGCAGCCTTCTTTTGTGAAAAGGAAATGTGATGCTTGTGCAGCAATTTTGGGACTTCCTGTCGGCCAGATGGTAGCTATCAATGTGAAAACTTCCTCGAGCTCGTTCTGCCTAATCTTGCTTTTTTTTTTATATATATTCCGAAACATGCAATCACAAGACGTGGTGACGGCACACTCAAGTTTTTTCAACTTATATTAATGCCGCCACCAACACAGGGACAGTACAATACTCATTTACACCTGAGCGAAGTGAGGAAAGTCGTGTAAAGTGCCTTTCCCAAGGGCACAAGATCGGTGGCATGACAGGACTCGAACCCGGGGCCTCTGGTTCCGAGTCGAGAACGCTGCCGCTCGCCACACGACCCCACACATAATCTTGCTTGTTCTTGCCAAAAATACCAATATTCAGTACGTTCCAATATTGGTCAGTGGGGAAGATTGTGAGCTTTCTGATGAGGTTGTAGGTTGTCCTGAGGAGGTTGTAGGTTGTCCTGACGCGGTTGCAGGATGTCCCGACGAGGTTGTAGGTTGTACCGAAGTTAATAGGTTGGGATATCTTTTGAATAAGTTTTCCTAAAGTGTAGAAAATCATTTGGCAAGTCTTCGCCTCGTTGATGAGAAGACAGGTTTTCAACTCGAGTGGTTGTGTTTCGAATCTTATTTTTAATATTTTTAATTGGTATGAATCTCCAGGCAAGAAGAGCACTGACCTGTGTCTAGGGAATAGTCAGTACGCAAAAAGCTGAGTCACTAATTCTTCTTACCAAACTCTGTAAACATGAAACGCGCCAGGCCTTTTCTACTTACTCCAAGTGGACTTGGCAAGGAAACTACTCCGGATATATGAAAATGCCAGCGTCAGCGGCCTTGTTTCGTGAAAGGGATGTGTGATGCTCATGCAGCAGTTTTGTAACTTCCTGTCGGCCAGATGGCAAGATGCTTGTTTTTGCCAAAATACCAATATTCAGTACGCTCCAATTGGTTGGTGGGGAAGATTGTGAGCTTTCTATCATATGGCTAGTTTTCTGTTGCTACAACTCGCTCGGTCCTTTTAGGAAAGTACAGCTTTATAGAAAGCCGGCGTAGACTAGACTTAAAAAAGATGACAATGTTCCCACGGCGGGGAAGCTTGTTGAAAGCATATTTATTATGTCTAGACAACCGACTAGATTATAAAACGTCTCCGTCTCTCTCTCTGTGTCTCTCTCTCTCTCTCTCTATCTATCTCAGTCTCCCTCTCCGGACGACGTCAGTTATTAAAAAGGTACGGAGTACTATTTCTAAGTAAATACATGCAAAGTGTTGGTAAGTTTGGTGTCGGTGACGAAGTTTCGTTGTGGGGACCGTGCGGTTGTTGTCGGTACTGCAGCTCACTTCCCGTGGATTTGCGGCATGCCGCAGGGAGAGAACGGGTCGTTCGCGTCCACCATGTCCGGCTGGCAGTTCTCATCCACCACCATCAGGCAGTGTTCGGGGACCATGTACGTACCGGAGCTGGAAACACAAGGACGGATTTTCTAAACATCGCAAAATCACTGTCTTCGGGACTGGAATGTTGAGATCGAGACAAAACATCTTAGATACAATTTATTTATTTTTCCATATTCCAAAATTTCATTACTTGGCATTTGTGTTGGATCAAAAGTCTTAACTTTAAACATGTAACTACCAACACAGATGAACTTTCATAATAGTATCAAGGTACATACGCGGAACAGAAGAGCCCAGCATCACTACAGGAGCACTGCTCGCAGCCTGTAGTCTTCCAGCTGCTGCCGATCATCATCTTCTTCCCCTCCCACTCACAGTAGTGCGTGGTCACCACACGCACGTTACCCTCGGGGCCGTACCTTTGGGAAGAACAGCAATTTTCAGAATGGCCTAAAATACGATGGCCCACAGCGACAAATGTTCTTTCCTAAGGCCACACGAAGTAAATTTTATGGATGACGTCCTTTGGAGACCCTATATCTAATGCGAGAGGGCGAAAAAAAACAAGAAGGGCCCTAAAAACAAGATGCCTAGATTAGTAATATACTAAGAGACGACAAATGTTAGGACACAAATTGAATGAGGTGACTCAGATTAACAATTCTCCTCATCATCAAAACAGCAATAAATCAGGTGGAACAGCAGTTGTCGTCCTGTCCTGTTTTCGCGTTACGGGTTTCACGTCAATCTAACAATTTGCGGCACTGTCGTGACTCTTTGGTCATAGTTACAGGAAGCGAAATTTCTTTTTTTTTTCTAGGAACAGGCCAAAATCAATGCGCGCGCGGACGTCATCAATAAAATTTACTTGGTGTGGCCTAATACATTGTCCATTTGCATTCCTCCTAGCCTTATGAACGTACAAGTATTCAGTTTCATCTCAGTACCCATAAGCATCGATTCGTAAAACAAAAGCATCCAATTTTTATGTACTGTCGTAACCCATCTCACAAAAACAGTGGATTCAATAAAATCAATCATAGGGTTCATTGCACAGCCGTTGAAAGCTAGTTGGGCCATATTGATGTGATTATATGGATGACATTCTCTGGGAACCTCAAAATTGATGCGAGCGTGCGAATAAAAAAGTTTCCTTCATTATGAAATCAACGTGGTCATGAAGGTTGTACAAATGACTAAACACACACTGAATAATAGACTTCATTTTCATTCCTGCACATTTTCTTCTTGTTTTTTTGGAATGGAGTTTGGCATTCTGCGACATAAGTATCGTTTTCCATCTTTTTTTCAATTTACGGCACATATTTGCTACTTTTGCAGCTACTTTGTACGTATGGTCGGTTTTTCTTTTGGAAACAAACGAAAATTCATGCACGCGCGGATGTCATCCATATAATGAAATCATGGCCTAAGTATCGAATCGTATTCAAAAAAGCATGCAATTTTCATGTATTGTGGTGTCTTTTGTTCAGTCACAATAGTTAGAGCTATAGAGACGTCTGACTCAGAAGTCTTTTTTTTTTTTTGCAGATTTCAAATATCTAATGTCTTACAGCCTGTTCTCGCTCTGGAGCTGTGCGAAGTATGTATATCCCGCAGTCATCCGCCAGGTGGCGCACATCACCAGCAGCAGTGCGATGAAAACCTTCATCTTCTCACTCTGTGACCATGACGACATACAGAAAGTTAGAAAAGTACTCTCCAAGCAGAGGTTGGAGACGGTAAACGGCATCATCCTTCAAGCTTTGCTTGGAGAGGTTAAAAAGGCCCCCACAACTAAGCCTGGGTACTTCACGTCCGCTCTCACAGTCACTACCACCACCCACGACTGAGGGAGCGGACTAAACTAACCAGGATGGTACCCAGCAGGCTACCCACAACTGGCCTCTACCCCCAGCCCCCCAAAGGATTATAGTTTGCCGATGGTATGTCATCTGTCCATTTGATTTGGCCACTTTCTACGCTTTCCAGACAGTGTCTGAAGCCTGGTATGGGCTAGCTTCAAACTAAAGAAACACTAGTTTGATAGCATACGTCGGTGAAGGTAAGACATCCAGGTAATAAGATACGCCAAAAAACTGTTACTCAAGCAACTGGATATGATTTTGGAAATGGTCAGACGTTTCAGGTAGCATCCATTACATTTCGCGATCGTTAGTGACACTAAGATTTTTGGCGTAACTAGATTATGTTTGTGAAGTGAGCCACATATCCTTCAATGCCTAGTGGGTGATTGATTAAGCCTAGAAAATAAACCAATCAGATGCCAGGTGCTGACGTCACTAATTCATGATAGCGTCAACGGCTGACATTTACAGACGATAGAGACCCCAACCTTCAGTCAATATTTCCCGCCAACAAACTCCCGCCATTTTAGCCCTGCACTCTTTTATCCTTTCCGACTAGAGGCGACTAACCCTGGGTGCCGTTTTCCTTCGGCAGCCAAGAGCCCTTCGCCCGCCTATCTAAATTAGCGCCACGGAGGAGTTGAGCCCAGGAGAATTCGTCCGGCCCTAGAAATAGCTCCGTGGCGCTAATTTAGATAGGCGGGCGAAGGGCTCTTGGCTGCCGAAGGAAAACGGCTAACGGCCCGATACTAGTTAGGCACCCAGGGTACCCAGAGAAGCTCCCTTTGTCTACACAGCTGCGGTTTTCTCAAGTTATATTCCCTTTTTGAGGCCGATTTCTACTATTTATTCAGCCTGCTAACTCTTGTGTGTTATTTCAACATTTGATGTGCCTGCCTTCGGTTCTAAAACATGTTATTAGTTTTGAAGGAACACCTCTAGTTGTTTATCTTCCTTCGAGAGAGGGGGGGGGGAGATAGTGTAACCTACATTGTTTTGAGTAATATGCTACAGTTTTCCCAAGTTATACAGTAACTTACTGGCACTCGGTCGCAAGCCATGCATGGTTTTGCAACGAAGTGCCGCCGTTGGACTTGACTTGGGTTTCCACACAACGCTCCTTTGACTGAAATATCGAGAGTGTTGTGTCTGAAATTTTCGGAAGTCACAACAACACTGACTGCACAGTGTGCTTTAGTGTACATTAGGTACCGATCTGAGAGAAACATATCCCCGAAGATAACATGTCATAGTCCTCCCTAAATCAACGTCTAAACAGAGGCGGCAGGTGGTCATATATATGAACTAGCATGTCTATTTCTGCTCCATAGAATTTTCCTTAACTTACTACATTTTGTAGAGGCGAAAATTCTAATTCAGAGAATTGTGAAAATGTTTCATCAGTTAAAGTTTGTTGAAAATACTTCTACCTGACTTAAAGTGGTAGGTATCATCACTCACAAATACTATAACATGAATAGAATAGAAGATGAACAACACTTTATTTTCGACTGTACTTTATATTCTAATGAAAGATTTGTCCTTTTTAATCATATCAAAGAGAAGTTCCCATACTTTGAACACCTAAGTGCAAATGATAAATTTATATTTTTGATGCGTCTAGACAAACCATGTATCACAAACATGATCTGTTCCCACATCTTCAATTGTACAAAAAAGCGAGAAGAAGTTGACCACTCTGTATTAGCTCAGTAACTAGAACACTTTGTATTAGCCTAGTATGGTACCCTTGTATGTTCCTTATACATTCGTAACATGTATGTCTAAGTCAAGTAGTGTATCTTTTGTCTCCAATTTTCTACATATACGTCTGTAATGTGTATGTTAGGTCTTGACCTGTACCTTAGTAGCTCGTTGTGGCATGAATGTACAATAAAGGTACAATAACAATTTACCCAATGTGATAGCTTGCTTATCTAATTGTGACCGAGAAATGTTCCAAAGGCAAACAGGCAATTTTGAAGTGACAAAGGAATCCTCAGTTTTCTCTTTGCTTCCTTCAGGGGGCGTATTGCTGGCTTCAGGCCACCAGAAAATTGTCATCTTTACTTCTACATCTACATCTTTCGGAAAACCTTCTCGCTACATCTTCAGGAGATACTATAACATTTTTTTCGCCACAGATTTCAACAAAATACAGGTTGACTTACCCATGAGGTACAAAAATGTCTTACCTTGAGTGTGCTGTCTTCTGGTTCTGATAATCAGTCTTAGAGGAATGACTCTGAGTACAGCCGCCCGTCAGACCAAGGGTGCCAGAGTAAAGTGCAATATTTTACGGAATACAGTGTAATTGTACGGAATACAGTGCAATTTAACGGAATACAGTACAATCGTCTTAGTATACAGTATAATTTTACGGAATACAGTGCAATCGTATTAGTATACAGTGCAATTTTACGGAATACAGTGCAAACGTATTAGTATACAGTGCAATCTTACTAATAAAACTGCACTGTACACTCGTGAAATTGCACTGGATACTAATACGTTTGCACTGTATTCCGTAAAATTGCACTGTATACTAATATGATTGTACTGTATTCCGTAAAATTGCACTATATGCTAGTAAAATTACACTGTATTCCGCAAAATTGCACTGTATTTCGTAAAATTGCAGTGTATTCCGTAAAATTGCGCTGTATTTCGTAAAATTGCGCTGTATTTCGTAAAATTGCACTGTATTTCGTAAAATTGCACTGTATTTCGTAAAATTGCACTGTATTCCGTAAAATTGCACTGTATACTCTGGCACCCCTGCAGACGCCGTAGTCTGTCTATACACACCTGCGTGCTAGGAGAAGTTTGGATTGGCGTTCACGCGGCGCGGCGCTCGCTTGGCGGTCGTTCCTCCTCAGTTGGTTTAGACAAATATTGTCAGGAAGTCAGAGACAGGCGGTGTTTTCAGCTGGACACTTCTGACTTTTGCCCAAAGTAGAATACTAGATGTACCGTGTCTGTCTGACGCTGCTGTGGTGCGATTCCATAACGTTGTAATATACTACAGAAGACGCCTTCACCTAAGGCCACACCGACTTAATATTATGGATAACATCCTCTGAAGACCCCCAAACTAGTGCGGCTTTGTACGTATGTACCGAGCTTCGGCAGCCTGGGTGCCGTCCTCCAGAGTTACCAAAGGCTCCGTATTGTCGCTAGCTACCATGGACTACCCAGGCCTAGAGCCAGGCCAGAGGCTCGGAGGACGTATATATCTTAAGCATAAGCCAAAACCTACGCAACTGCTTGCCCTTACCTTCAAGCAAATGTTTAGCGATGTGTGCCTTTGCTAAAAACCTTTCTATTTCTAACCTATACCAAGGGTTTTACATGTGACACCAGTCGCGCTAGCCTCCTTCGCAGACTTCTGATGAGGCGGCGTTAATTTTTTTTCGGGGAGCGACGGCTTTGCCGCCGAGGGATTTTGCCCGGGGGAAACGGTTTCCGTACTCCCCGAAAAAGAATTAACGCCGCGCCGCCGCTTCAGAAGTCTGCGAAGCAGGCTAAGTCGCGCCATTTTGGATTGCAATGTTGGGTATACAATCATTATGGCGTCGATGAAAAGACTCTATTGAATAGTAAGGAATCAAAGAAGTCGCATCTATTTCTATATTTAGTTTTATTCATGTCAATCCATCTTAAGAATGTTAAGAGTGTCAAGTGTGGTTGTCAATTGATCTGGTCAGGTTGTAGGTTGTCCTGACGAGGTTGCGGGTTGTCCGGATAGGGTTGTAGGTTGTCCGGACGAGGTTGCAGGTTGTCCTACCCGGTGATGGCCCAGTTCCCGCCGAAGTCGCAGTCGGAGTACGGGTCCTGGGCGTCGACGATAAGTGTCTGGCAGGTCTCGTCAATCAGGATCATACAGTGGTCTGGGACTGCGTACACACCGGAACTGGAAATAATGTCGTAAACATTAGCACTGTCTCAAGCTTTCGTTTCTTTGTTTGTTAATTCTTGCTTTGTCAACTGAACACGGGATAATTCTCAGATTTTCATGACGTAAAAACGTTGGCCTAATAAAAATAGCCTAAAGAACACTAATATTTCAACATAGACACTAAGGCCCTGTTCAGACGGAGTCAGTGAAAGCGCTTTACATGTGGTTTCCACCGAAGCCGGTTTTAAGTGGCTCCATCTGAACGGTCCAAATCACATTGAAAGCGCCTCGATACCAAATCACTTCGAGAGGTGGTTTCGAGCCGCATCGCGATTTGCGTCTGAACGTAATGTGATTTCAAAGTGACTTCGCCTGGTCATGGATTACGGGCTGATATTTCTTTATTTATATGCAATAAAATAAATAACGTGGCAGCAACTTAATGGTCGAATAATGTGTCCATTCTAGGGCGAGCTTCACCGCCTCTGGCGGGACCACGTCGGCATTCGTTGGAGGTTCGCTGGGAGGGGGGCACCAGCAAGCAGGTCGTTGACCTCTGACATTCATAACACGCTACCTTGCGTGTTTTCATCAAACAACAATTAATGTAGATTAGGAGAATCGTGATCGGGCACGGTTTGAAAGGAATGTGTGGCACGTGGACCAGATGTGAGGAATGTGAGTTACCCGAATCGCGGTTTGGTCGGTTTCATGTGAACAAGGCCTATGATTTCTTACCCAACCGAGAAAAGCAGCTAGCGGGTAAAACTTCGTATGCTAGCCAGTGAAGATAGCTACCATGGCCATGTTTCCAAACTCACCTGGTACAATGCAGGCCGTTACCGCCACAGGCACACGTCACACAGTCTGTAGTCTTCCAGCTGCTGCCGATCATCATCTTCTTCCCCTCCCAGGCACAGTACTGGGTAACCACGGGACGGCTACCGTACCTTCAAAGATAGGAAATAATTCGAACATCAAGATATCAGACCTCCTTGAAGTAGTTGAAAGTAGTAAATTTCACGCTGATTCAGTACATGTTCCACGGCCACTTTCTTTATTGTTTCATCTTATCTTTTATTCTCCATCTTTAAGTGTTAACGAGCCTAATGGCAACTTTGGTGAGGAAAATGTTTTGACTACCTACATGGTTGTCTCGCTACTCAGAGGCTCGAAGAATGCAGCTCCCTCTGCCTCTCGCCAGGTAGCGCACATCGCCACAATCATCAACACGTACACACCCATTCCTGTGGGACACAGAAGGAAATACCGAAGTTGATAGGTCAAAATATCTTTTGAATCTTGCAAAATTTTTCCCAAGTATCGTAGCTGTTTTTGGTTAAGTTTCGAATGTTATTTTTCAATCTTGAAAAAAATATGAATCTATGTACAGTATGGGCTACGCGCAAGGCTTAATAGTTAATATATATGCACGCATTAAATATTCCAATTTTGTCAACCGTTTCTATTTGTTAAATGTCTTAAAATCGCCTAACCGCTTGAATAACGTTTAACTACTACAGTAATATTATCGACATGGTTGTCGTCAAAATACTACTAGTCAAATGGTGAAATCGCCATCGACTAAAATTAAGAAAGAAAGGAAAAAAGAAAGGTCTCCCGTGCCCTTAAGCAGAGTGTAGGGTGGTGCCCATGTCCATTTCTGTAGCCCTTGGGCGACACACAGTTGTGCTAGGCACTACAGCAGGGGGCTGGTCCGCTGGTAGTGCTGTGTGTTTGACCTTCCCACACTCTTTCTCATATATGCTGAGTGCTAAGCAGAGAAAGAAGTGTGTACCATTTTTAAAGTCTTTGGTATGACCCGGCCGGGGTTTGCACTCACGACCTCCCTGTTACAAAGCGAGCACTCCACCAATTAAGCTATTGCACCGGAATATCGATAAAATTAGTGGCGGAAAAATGCACTGAAAGTCGTTTTTTTACCTAAAGAAATTAATCTGAATCACCATACCTGACATTTCTGTGGTTTGTGAGTCTGTAGCCCCGGGCCAAGTGATTTAACAGTCACAGATATCACAGACTGCGAGCTTCAACACGAAGTCCGGGTATTTTTATGTCCAGTCGGTGAGAAAGAAAACATCTGTATCTACATCGTAAGACGTAATTCCGCTTAGTGATTATCGTTATCTAAATACGTTCTACAGCAAACCGGACGATGACATTTCTTGGCATTTCTATTTGCTACCATAAGGCCATGTTCATTTGATTATATGGATGACATAATCGCGCGCATGAATTTTCGTCCGTTCCTAAAAAAAGTTTTCGACCATACTGTAGATCGTACAAAGTAGCTGCAAAATGAGCAAATATACCGTAAATTTAAAAGAAAATATTGGAAAACGATACTTATGTTGCACAATGCCAAATATAATGAAGACTTTATTATTCACTATGCCAATAAAATACGTGTTTAGTCATTTGTTCAACCTTCATAACCACCTAGATTTCATAATGAATGCAACTTTTTGGCGACGTCTCAGGGAGGAGCCTAATGGTACAGTATTGTGTGCAGTTTGCAAGAATTCTAGAAATGTTACAGGCATTTTGTCCACAGGAATGGAATGTCCACAGGCATGTCTCTGACCCACATCTATGCCCACATTCCTGGAAACCCTTGGGAAGACCTCTCTTCCCCGGATGGCCCTACTTTCTGTGACCCAGTGGCTCGTTCACTATACACTCAGGGGAGGACTGCACTAAGTCTTCCTCAAAATCATGAAATGATGGCAGTACCATACAAACAATAACCCTAACAGCAAGCACCGTCGCCATGGCAATGTATGCTTTCTACTGCCATTGCCAGTCTTGTTTTGACATTTTTTTATTCGCACGCCCGGATCAGTTTTGGGGTTCCCAGAGGATGTCATCCATTGAATCCCAACAAGAATGTCTGAAACATGTCGAAAATAAGTCAAAGCCTAAACCAGTGCTTGGATAGTAGCCTTAACCTTCAAGCAAATGTTTGACTATAATTTTCTCTGCTAAAACCTTTCTATTTCTAACATATACTGTTTTTTGTCTATGTATACGTTACTGGGTACAGGGTGATATGACGTCACTCGCGCCATGTTGGGTTAAAGTGTACGATGGGTATACACTCATTATAGTGTCGATGAAAAGACTACTGAATAATAAGGAATTAAAGAAGTCGAATGTATTTCTATTTTTAGTTTTATTCATGTCAATCCATCTTAAGAATGTTAAGAGTGTCAAGTGTGGTTGTCAGTTGATCTGGTCAGGTTGTAGGTTGTCCTGACGAAGTTGTAGGTTGTCCTGACGAAGTTGTAGGTTGTCCGGGCCGGATGGGGTTGTCCTACCCGGTGATCATCGGGCCCAGTTCGAGTAGTCACAGTCGGAGTACGGGTCCTGGGCGTCGACGACATGTTGCCGGCAGGTCTCGTCAGTCAGGATCATACAGTAGTCAGGGTACCCGTACGGCGCGGGACTGGAAATAATGTCGTAAACAACAGAACATATTCAGCACTGTCTCAAGCTTTCGTTTGTGTGTCAGTTTGTTTGTGTATTGATTGGCTGGTTGGTTGGTTGGTTGGTTTGATCTTTTTGATTGATTTGATTTATTGAGATTGTACAGTACAATACACATCACACATGGGACACGGGCAGCTGTTGCTGGTGTTGTGTCCCACACATAGAACTAATACAGGAAAGACAGTTCTCATTTTCACTTGAGTTAAGTAGGGAAAGTCGTGACCGATCTTGTGCCCTTTCCTAAGGCCACGTGTCAGGACTCGAACCCGGGACCTCTTGGTTCTGACTTCCGAGTCGAGCACTCTGCCGCTATTCCACACGACCCCACCACAAATGGTGGTTGGTTGGTTAATTCTTGCATTGTGAACAGGGTGATTCTCAGATTTTCATGACGGAAAAACGTTGGCCTATTAAAAGAGCTAGAACATTTCAACACACGCAAATTTTAACACACCCAACCGAGAAATAAAACCTCATATGCATGCTAGCCCGTGAAGATAGCTACCCGAGCCAGGCTAGTGTTTCCCGTTGATCTATCCATACTCACCTGGAACAGCGAAGACCGTTATCACTACAGGTACACGCCCAACAGTCTGTAGTCTCCCAGCTGCTGCCGATCATCATCCTCTTCCCCTCCCAGGGACAGTACCGGGGTTGAGGCACGGGACGGGTACCATACCTTCAAAGTTAGGACATAATTCGAACATCAAGATATCAGAACTCCTTTAACGATTCCGCACAATATTTTTAATATCCTTGATGTTAAACTACCACGCTATGTTTATAGTATGGAAAACTATGTCGACAATTGTTGAACGTTACTTGTATAAACTTGTATATGTACTAATAGTATATTAGCCTACAGTGTTATTTTCACTGAGTATGTAAAATTCGGCGCAATTCAGTGTATACTGCAAGGCCAATTTGTCCCGTGTTTTTACCAATAAACTATTTACTACTTACTACTACATGTAAGTAGTAAACTAGTTGAAAGTAGTAAATTTCAAGCTGATTCAGTGCATGTTCTACGGCTACTTTCTTTATTGTTTCATCTTATCTTTTTAATGATCTCCATCCTTGGAGTGTTAACGAGCCTAATTATAATGGCGACTTCGCTGAGGGAAATGTTTTGACTCTTGTTGTACCTACATCATGGTTAACTGGGGACTCAGATTCGCTATGAATATAGCTCCCCCTGCCTCTCGCCAGGTGGCGCACATGGCCACAATCATCAACACGTACACACCCATTCCTGTGGGACACAGAAGGAAATACCGAAGTTGATAGATCAAAATATCTTTTGAATCTTGCAAACCTTTTCCCAAGTATCGTTGCCTCGTTGGGAAGACAGGTTTGCAACTCGATTAGTTATGTTTCGAATGACGTCATTTTTCAATCTTGAACAAAAGGAATCTATACAGTATGGCTTGATAGCTAATATATATGCATGCATTAAATATTCCAATTTCATCAACCGTTTCTATTTTCTAAATGTCTTAAAATCGCCTAACCGTTTAGATAACGTTTAACTACTACAGTAATATTATCGACATGGTTGTCGTCAAAACACTCATAATCAAATAGTGAAATCGCCATCAATAAAATTATTGCCGAAAAATGCACTGAAAGCCGTTTTTTACCTAAAGAAATTAATCTGAATCACCATACCTGACATTTCTGTGGTTTGTGAGTCTGTAGCCCCGGGCCAAGTGACATAAGTTATAACAGTTACAGATATCACAGACTGCGAGCTACAACACGAAGTCCGGGTATTTTTATGTCCAGTCGGTGAGAAAGAAACATCTGTTGATTATCTACATCGAAGACGTAATTCCGCTTAGTGATTATCGTTATCTAAATACGTTCTGCAGCACACTTGACGATGGCATTTCTGGGTGCACGAGCGTTTCTATTTGCTACCATAAGGCCATGTTTATTTGATTATATAGATGACATCCTCGCGCGCATGAATTTTCGTCCGTTCCAAAAAAAAAGTTATATACGCCGTAAATTTAAAAGAAAATATTGGAAAACGATACTTATGTTGCAGAATGCCAAATGAAATGAAGAGTCTATTATTCACCATGCCAACAAAATATTACTCTGTTTAGTCATTTGTTCAACCTTCATGACCACCTAGATTTCTAGCCTGACTAAATCTGCACTCCTAGCGGCCGGCCTGGTATTACACAGCTTCTGGCGGGCCGGCCGCTAGGAGAGCAGATTTCGTCAGGCTACTGGATTTCATAATGAATGCAACTTTTTGGCGACGTCTCAGGGAGGAGCCTAATGGTACAGCAAGAATTCTAGGAATGGTACAGGCATTTTGTCCACAGGAATGGAATGTCCACAGGCACGTCTCTGACCCACATCTATGCCCACATTCCTGGAAACCCTTGGGAAGACGTGTATGCCCCGGATGGCCATACTTTCTGTGACCCCGGGGCTCGTTCACTATACACTCAGGGGAGGACTGCACTAAGTCTTCCTCAAAATTATGAAATGATGGCAGTGCCATGCAAACAATAACCCTAACATCAACCACCGTCGCCATGGCAATGTATGCTTTCATTGCCAGTCTTGTTTTGCCATTTTTTCTATTCGCACGCCCGCATCAGTTTTGGGGTTCCCAGGGGATGTCATCCATTGAATCAAATCAAGATAACTTAATTATGAAAAAAATGTTCAATTACAATATTGTGAAATTGATTTTATTGCCACATCTAACACTAAAATTATGATGTTTGAAACATATAAACAAATTCAACATGTCAGGCATACAGTCTTTCCTTCATGATAGAAAACAAAATAAAATTCAGTAACAGTAAAAGGTAAGGTTAGATATAGAGAACATATTAGATATATACATGTAACTGCAACCATCGTATAACAAGAACAGGGTCATAAAAACTGGCGCAAATAGCTAGACAAAATCCTTTTGTGATTTCAAACCACGTACACGGGATATGTAAACGTCACGAATGCTTGTGGTTACGTCACAATATTTACATGAAAACATCATTGTTTTTAACGTAAAATAGTTATAAACTGTTAAATAGCGGACAGTGTTACTAGATAGTGGTCACATCCACACACACACGTTCAGTTTTGATTTGAGATTGTGTATTGGGTAAGCCACAAAAAGATTGACATTCACTTTTCAGGCACGCCAGAGGAAAAAAAAACATCACTCAAACACACGTCACAACAGAATGTCAACTGTAATTCAGTTGATCCCGACAGTATACGAAGATTTCCGACGCCCACCCGAATAGACCGATCCAGAATGTCCATAACATTCAGCAGTTCAATCCATGAGATAAAGGCACTTAACAGATCAACCAATGAGAGCACGGCAATTAGCAGTTCAACCAATGAAAGAAGGACAATTGGTGGTTTGACCAACGAGAGAGCTACATTTCTATGTTTTGACGGAGGTGAGTGGGGCTTAAGGATAATGGAAATTAGCAGTTCAACCAATGAGAGAATGGCAATTAACTGTCAAATAAATGAAAGAATGGTAATTAGTGGTTCGACCAATGAGAGAGTGACATTTCTATATTTTGACGGAAGTGGGCGGGGCTTGAGGATCGGTCTACAGGTGGCGACAACCTCTGATGTTGACCCATCTCCGATGCCGTCCTATCCGTTGAGGATGACAGACAGGACGGCAGCGGTCAGCAGCAGCAGCAGCCACGGCGGCGGACCGATGTAGGCAGCGCCGCCGGACCCGGAGTCAGGGAGCACGAACACGGCGTTACCGGTCAGCAGGGCGCTGTTACACCGGTCGGAGGTACAGCACCGGTAGCACACCTGCAAGTCAAAGGTATCGCTTTACTTAAATAACGGTCCTTTATCTGTTTCAACAAGTCTAATGTTTTGTGTTGTGTTGTGTTGGAAATTAAAGTTTAAACGGCTTCATAATGACTTTTACCAACTGTCACAGATGAACTTAAATTCTCCTGCTTAGGCTTATAATAGAATATTGACTACTAGTAGAAAAGTAAGTTTTGCGCTGATCGACGTAGTTGTTTCAAATAGAAATAAGTAATAGATTTTAATACCATAGAATATGTATTATGGTGTTCAATCAGTTCGATCAGGAACTGTCTATATAAAGATGAAAGATTTTGGCAACGCTCCAGGAGCAGAGCCCATTACGTTGTACTTTGGCTACGATATGTTTGTGTACCTACCTATGTGCATCATTTGTTTTACTATGGGTTGAATCTGACAACAGATAGGGAATGATTCTTTTTGAATATGTGGTTTGTAAAGTTATAGTGCTAACGCTATACTGATGCTGTAACGTTACATGAAGTAAAGAACACAAAAACTTCATTCTCTATTTATTGTCAGATTCGACCCATAGTAATTTAATGTTGAGCATAAAATGCCCCCAACACCTCAAAACACACTGAAAAACAAGATGTTTAACGTCAACAGGATCATTCCGATGCCTTCCTATCCTATGAAGTTTAGACCCCTGTTTTCGCAAGGCATTCTGGGGATGGGAAACTCGTGAATTTCGCGTTACCTTGGTGTCTCCATCTTCCTGACAGTTCTCCAGGGCGAGAATGTCGTCACACTCCATGTTGTTGTACGCACAGGAACGCTGGTAGGAGACAGACTGGCCGCCGACAGCCGTCCGGACAATCTGACGTCATAGACCATAGAATACTTTTATGTTTATGTTTATTAGGAATATCCGTTAGTAATACAGAGTTTGTTTACTAGTCTTCCCGGAGTCCTTTACATTTAAAATATGAAATATAACCAATTACAAACTTATATACAATTATATACAACAACAACAGCTTAAATAGCAGTATAACGATAACAATCTTAACAATCATATTGTCATAATTGTCATGAGAAATGTGAAGGAAATCGTACGGAAATGACAAAATAAAGTATTCTTGTTCCCTTTTCGTTTCTGAACGATTCAATTTAGGGTCTCCAATGACGTCATTCACTCGCCATGTTCACGGTAACTAGTTGTTACCAGAATGGTGGCAGAACGTACTGAGTATGCGCAATTGCAAAACCCGGATTATTTTACGGTTTTCGTTGGATGTTTGGTCAACGTTCCATCAGAATTTTGCATGTTGCAGACGATGTCTTTTTCGACACAACATGTGAAAACTATAGACGGGGTGTCATCTTTAAATACGCTAATACGACCTTAAACAAGACGTTCTATCGAAGTGCTATGCACAATACGTCACGGGGTTTGCGCAAGCCCATTACGTTCTACAGGCGTGCTGCCATTCATCAGTTTCCCATCCCCAGAATGCAATGGGAAAACTGGGGATCTAAACTCATTTGCATAGGACAGGAAGGCATCTAATGATCCTGGTGACGTTATACAGCTTGCTTTTCACTGTGTTTTGAGGTGTTGGGGGCATTTTGGTGTCGAATCTGATAACAAATAAAGATTGAAGTTTTTGTGTTCTTTTCAACATGGAACATGTGGTTTGTGACGTTACAGCATCAGTATAGCGTTACCACTATAACGTTACAAACAATTCATTCCAAAAAAAATCATTCTCTATTTGTTGTCAGATTCAACCCATAGTAATTTAATTAACCTTGAGTATAAAATGACCTAACACCTCAAAACACACTGAAAAACAAGCTGTTTAACGTCACCAGGATCATTCCGATGTCTTCCTGTCCTATGCAGATGAGGTTAGACCCCCTGCTTTCGCGTTGCATTCTGGGGATGGGAAACTGGTGAATGACCTTGCCGGAGTGTCCTTCTGTGCGTTACTTACCCAGCATGCCCCGCTGCTGCAGGCCTGTGTGGTGTTGGTGGTGTTGTGGAACTCCTCCGGCAGCGTGTACTGGGCCACGTCACAGTGGTCGTCACTTGCCGAGTCACACACGTAACACACGGTGGGAGCCTACAAAAACACAAAGAACGTTATAAACGTTATATCAAACTAGAAAGGTAATATTTGCAAAGCAAATGCATAATGCTTACCGTCGCATATGGTCTGCTCTGCTAAGTCTTACTCAAACACATTCATATGGCAAAACGAGAAAACGTAATTAATTCCTGACACAATTTATTACTACATTGTATTAATAGAGTTAGATAAGTATAATTAGTGTCTCTCTTTTGTTATACATTGTTTATGAAGCAGACCAGATTCCTATTACAGTTAGTAGAACTGTTAGATATTCTCAACACCACCATATGTGTATGTTAACACCACAAACTATGTATGTATATTTTGCCATACGTTGTACCCGCTACATCTGTTGCGCAACAAAGTTCTTCTTCTATATATGGTGACAGGAGTCTAAATCCTCCTGCTATAAAATTGCAACATGAAGTATCCCAACGCCAGTTACCATGGTAACAGACATCTGGTTCTGGTTATTGACCTTTCGTGTTTGGAACGGAAGAGGAAACAGAGCAAAAACGATATGTTTTCCTTCGGTAAACATAATGACCATGTATGCATAACTCCTCGAATTTGTGGCACAGTGATTGTCATTTATACTACCTTATAGGCAACAGTTATCATATTCTTTTACGTCTTCAAATGTTTCAGGCGCAACATGTTATAAAATTTCTATATAGTTCTAGATAGTATATAAGTTGTATTGGTCTTACCGGAGTTGGATCTTCCTCATATATGAGGAACTGTTCTCGAAAGTAGGGCAACACTGAATAAAGAAAAAAAAAAGATGACGAGAATGTACCATGGATGCTGGCCACAATTGTGAAAGAATTTACTCGCAAACACCAACACTTAGAGATGTTTCCGTTATTTTTAACTCACATAGGCCTCATCCGGCCCTTCTTCAGTGTACTTTTGAATACTACTAGTATCGACTTTGGTTGTAGTCGCTTAGCTGGGTATATAAGGAATCCCACTATGCTTCTCAAAAAGTACTAAAAGTAAAGACACACTCTGATGTTCTTTGGAGTACAAAACTTTTGTGTTACTAAATATGGTTGTTTGCCATTTATACCACTCAGATTAGGCCACACCAATTTAATTTGTTGGTTCTCGGATTCGCCTCTTCATTTTTTCCTGATTTGCAAAAAAAAAAAAAAATTTCTAGAATACAACTGCAAAATGCTCATATTTTGTCCCTCGAACAAGTTGAAAACAGTCCTTTTCTTGCTAGTCGTTACAGTTATTCCATCTTTCAATGCAGTGGTATCATTAGAAGTTCAAAATTCATTGTTTAAATTTTAAACAAGCCTTTTGTGTTGACTTCATACCTCCTATCGTAGCATTTGGGGCTATAATAGGATGCCTACATCTGTTTTTATTTTTATTTTTTTTCGCCCTGTCGCTTCATATTTTTCCTGAAAAAATCCGAGAACCAACAAATTAAATTGGTGTGGCCTTAAGGTAAAAAAAAAAGAGCCTGCAGTTCCCACCTCGCTCGCAGTGAGTCCCGATCGTGCCGAAGATACACTCGCAGGTGTAGGAGTCGACGCCGTCCACACACGTGGCGCCATTGAAGCACGGACGGGATTCGCACTCGTCAGTATCTGACAAGAAAATATTTGGAAGTATTAGTCTGAACTGTAACGGGTTACTACGTTTGTTAAACTGTTCTACATGGGTACCTTTTCACGAATGGCTAATGGACACTCCTCTGGCCAATGGATACTGTCTTGCCACCGTATGATCTGCTTGGAGATAACCTTTTCATCCTCTCATGTTTCTGTATGTCGAGCGACGGCCCTGACGTATACAGGACATCGGCCGTCCTTTTCGAGTTTGCTGCAGCCTCCGGCCAATCACGTTGATGCATAGGACTAGGATGCAACGTGATTGGCTGGTAACATTTCCTCCAACAACAAAAAAAGTGGCGGGCCTATCATGAGCGAGAGTGTACAGTTAAGTGACGTAATCAATTGGCCAATAGATATGCAATATCGTTCAATATCTGAACACCGAAAGAAAAAAAAAATGGTGCTTACTGTTTTCACAATTTGCCCCGTAGAATCCCGACAGACAGTTGCAGAGGTAGTACGGCTCGGGGTACCAGTAGTTGGAGTGTTCGATGCAAACGCCGCCATTTTGACACGGGGAGGGCGGGCCACATGGCGGGTCTGCATGTAAAGTAGTTGCACGTGACGAAATGAACCAATGAACGAGACCGACGTAAAAGTACATACATCCAATCAAAACACGAAGCATTCTGAAAGCTCAAACAGTCGTCGAACCTTTCTTTATTGGTCTCGAACTGGTTTTGATAATAAACAACTATTGCCCTGCTGATAGTGTTTCTTCGATTATGGTATGCGACACAAGACTTCAAAACAAAATACCAAGTACAAAAATAATAAAAAACCGTTCCCCCTAGACTAGTAGGCTACAAACACGCAAAAAAAATTAACGGTTGGTAGAAGTAGTAGTGGTAAAACAAGCTTAAGCCAAAACGCCAAAGCAACTTACCAGCGGTGCACCTTATTTCAAGTTGCGGCTCCTGTGTCCATTCACCATTCCCCCAAAGGTAGAATGGCCCTGCGCTCTGTTCAGGATATTTGTGCGGGTTTTCCGCCACCATCATCGCAGGAAAAGAGCCTACTGTGTTTCCAAGCAGCCAGAGGTTCTCGAATGCCATGTAGAACAGCCAACAGTTAGAACAGTCGGTCTTCTTGTAGAGGTCCCGCCCGTTGAACTTCTCTGTCTCGCGCGTGTAGAGGCCGAGGGTGACGTCGTTACCGCTCGCGGGTCTCTGTCCGTCCGCCGTCGTGATGCGCAGTGTAGGACAGTCTGCGACGGAAACAGAAGAAACTATCTCATACCAGAATTCCAATTATCAAACTTCACCTTCGTATTCCCGATCCCAACCTTCCAACAAAGTATTATAAAAACACATCCAAAAACAGCAAAAGTTATCCTGTCAAATATCACAAAGATACAGGCACCACACCCCAAGTTATAACAGGTTAAAACTGCCAACCCCTCGTACCTAACACATAAGGTACTACTAAACTATTAGAATCAAACATATTAAAAAAGAAAGGATATGGATGAGCTCAATAGATGTTTACGTATTATTATATCTACTTTAAGATTAACGTTCACGACTTGGTTGAGACTACCTACCCCGTGTTTCACAGTTCGGTCCAGAGTAGCCGTACATACACTGGCACGTGTCGGGTGCGCCGTCCTCACCGGCCAAGCACAGGCCCCAATTCTGACAATAATCCCACGGACAACTCTCACCTGTATAACGAAAACAAACAACAAACATGGAATAACCACTGACGACCTCAGTGGCAAAAGATAAATACTGTACATTAGACTACAAAAGCACGTCGGCAGAACGTACTGCACCTGCACGAAACACCTTAATATTGTGCATAGCACCTCGGCAGAACGTCTCATATAAGGTCGTATTTGCGCATATAAGCTTAACATCCTGTCTGTAGTTTCCAAATGTTATGTCGGAAAAAATACGGTCTGCAACAGGCAAAATTCTGATGCAACGTTGACCAAATATCCAACGAAAATCGTGGGGGTTTTGCGCAGGCGCAGTACGTTCTGCCGACGTGCTGACTACAAAGGCCGTGTTTATGTGAAGTCACCCAAGGCGCTTTACATGTGGTTTACCCCGAAGCCGGTTTCAAGTGGCTCCATCTGAACGCTCCAAATCACATTGAAAGCGCCTCGATCCCAATCCGCTTATAGGTGGTTTCGAATCGGTTTTCCCGCATCGCGATTTGCGTCTGAACGTAATAATGTGATTTCAATGTAACTTCGCCTGGTCATGGATTACGGGGTGATATTTCTTTATTTATATGCAATACCAAATTTTACGTGTCAGCAACTTAAAGAGTAGTAATGGTCAAATAATGTGTCCGTTCTAGGACGAGCTTCACCGCCTCTGGCGGGACCACGTCAGCATTCGTTGGAGGTTCGCTGGGAGGGGGGCACCAGCAAGCAGGTCGTTGACCTCTGACAATAATGACACGCTACCTTGCGTGTTTTCATCAAACAACAATGAATCGTGATCGGGCACGTTTTAAAAGGAATGTATGGCACGTGGACCAGACATAAACACGGCCAAAGTGTATTCACGTGACGTCATCAATTCGTAAACCGCCATATTATTGACGTACAATTTGTATGTCTATTTACGGTAAAATCAATGCGCGTGCTGATGTCATCCATAAAATTTACGTCCTGTGGCCTAAGTAACATTATACGTCAAGGACGGGATCAACATACTTCTTTCTTCCTCTAAAAGATTCTATCTGGCTCATTTCTAGTGAAAGATTTGCGGTGCAGGTTTCTGCCGTATCGAGTGATGCCTGAACGCAGAACTACACTTGAAAAGATCGCCCCTGTCATGCTCTTTTAGTCAGATTACAACACCTTAGAGTTAGCGGTCCACATGGTGTGAAAACATGGGTTGTGATGTGGCAAGTGGTTACCTTGGTGACGAAAATGCTTCAAGGCCCTGATCACATACGTCATACATACGATCTTTACAGTGATATAGAGTATACTAAAACACTTACCTCCGCCAGATATACCACCGATGTCGATGATATCCAACTGAGATGAACCTGGAAATAAAAACACAATTACACCCTTCACAAAATATTCAGGTATGTACATGAAATATGACAAATAAACAAGTACATAGCAAGAGAATAGAATGGGTCTTTAAAAAGTTGAGTGCGCACCGTACAGTCCAAAAGGCCTACAGTTATTTCAAAATTTGCTTCCATCCTAGTTAAAAACATTTGATACATTGGACGAAAATGAATTCTAGTGTTTAGGATCTCAGCATATTCACTTTAATCTAAAAGGTAAATAAGTTCGCATTTGTACAGGTTTTTCCACAGAAAACTTAAGAGTCGTTGCATTTGGAAGAATAGTATACTTTTATTTTTTATTCTAAAATATATGAACTTATTTTATATCAATTGGGAATAAATAACCTATAAGTACTATATTGATATCTACAATTTTACTTGATTTAGTTAAATGTAATATTTCAACCTAACATTTTATATCTTATAAGTGGTAAGTGATTTTATGTGGATTGTGATCTTTGTGCACAAGTAGGTACAGTAGCAGTACATTAGTAAAAGATCAGTGCAGTTCAGTCCCCCTGTCAAGGGCTTCTGCGATACTGTACCTTTGGAAGTTCATGCAATAAACCAGTTATATTTCTTCATTTATTTCTTAGGCCACACCGACTTAATTTTATGGATGACATCCTCTGAAGACCCCCACACTAGTGCGCGCGGGCGAATAAAAAAAACCCAACCGACCAAAAATAAAAATGCTACTAAACCACAGGAATACGAAGCTGGTAACGTTACATGTATTGTGACTTTGCGGCAGTACATAGCGACGTACTCTACGGCAAGACGGCACATGCTGGCTTTTAGCGGAGTTTATGAATCAGCACTGTACGTATGCACTGAGATCTTCAGTCGTGGAGCTTCGGTAGCTTGGGTGCCATCCTACAGAGTTACCGCGGCTCCCTATTGTCGCTACCTAGCATAGACTACCCAGGCCTAGATCCAGGCCAGAGCCTCGGAGGACGTGATCATTTTTTTTCAGGACAGGCAAAAATCAATGCGCGCGCGGATGTCATCCATAAAATTAAGACGGTGTGGCCTTATTCATATAACTCACCGCATCGAATGACAGCAGCCAGGACCAAGAGTCGCCACATCATTGCTGCATTTTGACCTGGGCAAAACTACAGACAAACAAAAACATGAAATGAAGAACCACCAGATTGTTGCATACCATACAGACACACATCGGGAAACAACAGTACCCGAGTTCTGTTTTTCAATTCTAGTTATCTGTAAGAAAAACAGAAGTATGGATCAGATACATGACATTTTTCGGTGTGATAGTGAAGTGATTCTTGACTAGGAACAGACCCTGACAAGAAATTTTCCTTTTCTCCAAGCAGAGGTTTGGGTTTGGGGTTATTTTAGCGTGTTTTTAGGCTTTTTTATCGGGGTTTCTTTTTTGCACTGGAATATTTTTTT